GCAAATTATTCTATTTACAATCAGTTGGTCCCAACTAGAGACCTTTATGCTCAGTGAAATGAGTCAATCACAAAAGAACAAATACCATATATTCTCTCTTATATAAGGAAACCAACATGGAAAATGTAACTCCAATAGTCCAATCCATACTGTTTTTGATTATTTGCTTTTTTGGCTGTATCCCATGTGGTTTGATGTTTTTTTATTTCAGTTTGGTTCATTCCAAATAATCTCTTTTCTCTAGCCAAATTCATCACGGGCTCATGAATTATACGATGGCATCATTTTTCTCAAGAGACTTCTGTGTTTCCTTTTTGTCACTCATGTGTTTGTTTCTCAGTGGCGCATTTTTTTTTTCAGGGTACTGTAATTTGTTGTTGATGTTATTGTTGTGACTATTCTCATGCCACTTGTTGACCTTGTTTCATGGCTCCTCACTTACAGTAATGTATAGTGATGGAGTATTGGAGTCTATCATAATGAAATGTGGGGTATAATGGAACATGTATCCCTGCATCCAGATGAAAGATGGAAATCCAATGAAACTGTTGGTCCTGTGTAGACAATGGGATGCTGGACTGTCTGACACTGTCTGTACCAACAATGTCGGGGTACACTTAAATAGAATTATGATTATGATTAGAATTATGATAGAATTATGATTCCTTATGAAGGACTACACTATTGTAACAAAATGAGAAAAATCAGACAGGGGAGATGAGAATTTGAGGGGGAATCCCAGCCTACACAAAACTGTACCACACAATTCAAAATTCAAAATAAAAATATATTTAAAAAAATAAAATTGAAAGTTTCATGGCTCTCACATCCATGAAAAATAAACATCAGTAAATTGTCCTAGTTCAACATGCTGAATTCTTCCCTATAAGCACAATGTGAGAATTCCTGCAATGGCTTTAAGCATATATCATATTTAACAAATTATGTAATGTTTATGGTGAAACAATTAAACATAAATTATAATGACTAGTATCAGATTGTAAATTTACAGAGACTATTCAAATTCCTTATAGGGTGTTTATAAAACTGTGATATAATGTATAAAGACTGTGCTTGTCACAAGAAAGATGACACTAACGGCAGAATAATCACTGATGCAAAATAAAACATGAAGTCATAGCACATATATGTTTTATATATATAAAGAGGAAGGAAATGAGTTAAGGGACTCATTTTTTTAAACAATGCCTTGTGGAAGTTGGTACTGAAAAAAAAAAAAAGAAGAAGAAAAAGAAACAGCATCAGAAGTAGCCTAAAATACGCAGGAGGTAATTTGAGGCACACTGCAGAGGTAGAATCACTAACACTTGACTGCAGCTTGAAGGAAGAATTATAGATGGCACATCAAAGTTTTAGCTGTGCTACTTAGATGGAAGATAAATATTAGTCACAGGTAGGTTAGGCTATAAAAAATCTAAAAGACGTAAGACAGTAGCAGGTGGTATATGGAAGTGACAAGTAAGAAACATCGACCTAAACTGAGCACTATAAACCCAAATAACAGAAGACAAAAAGCACTGCTAGGCCAACGAAAGCATGGTGCCTCTTGCATTGAGTTTAAAAGAACATGAGAAGTTACTGGAAAGCTATTACCAGGCAAATAACATGATTGTTTGGAATCATGGAAAATGATTTAGTTCCAACAAAGTAGACAAAAAGTGGAAATTGTACACCTTGATTTCTTGACAAATGCCATAATAACTATTATTATAATGGCACCGAGAAATAGATGTCATTCAGTTAGGGTTTTATTTCAATGTAAGTTGAAGTGAAGGTTTACAATATTAAAACTGAAACTGACAAGTTAATAGACTTTACATTCTCTATTAAAACGTCAATCTTATACCTTATGTTGGAGGGATAAATGTATCAAAAGACTGCCTGAATATTATACAGAGTTTGATGCAGTTTTAAATTTAAATATTTTATAATACATACTGCATTGAAGCATAAAATGAATCAGAAATGTACCTAACCAAATTGTCACCCTTTGAGACTCTAGTAGAGGTTAGGGCTTCAACTTAAGAACTTTGAGGGACAAAGTAGTCAACGGAGGGTTTGTTGCAAACAACTAAAACCAATTTGTTGTTTGTTTGCTGGCGGGAGCCTGAAACATCAGACTTTGAAAACAAGAGTAACAACCAAGAATGAAGGGAGGTTCAGTGTATAGCCTGTCACTGGCCTGCCACCACTGGACTCCATACACTTACTCTTTTCATCTCTGAAGACCTACAGGACCCTTCCTGTTTCTTGGTCTCATTCTTTTGATATTAAGCCTTGGGGAAAAGAGGGAAATGACAGAGAAAAATCTACCTGCTTAATCTTAAATTGTACACTTAGAATCTAGCTCTGAGGGATAAGGAGGGAGTACCTTGCCCCTTTGCTTCAAAAGTGGGATCTGAATTTAGCTAAAGAGTAATCTGCCACACACACAGGAAGGACCATAAGTTACTAGGTAGCAAAAATTTCCACTTCATTACCAAACCAACTGCCCAGGTCCAAGACATATTTTCTAAGCAAAATTTTCATTCGGAGCCTGTCCACTAAATCAAACATGTCAGATTGGGGGCAATTGATGAAGTAGTTAGACATTGCTTGGAGATCCACATTTCATATTGGAGATCCTTATTCTGATTTCAACAACCAGTTCCTGCTAATGCACACACAGGTTTGGGACAGCACGCGAAGGCTCAACACAGGTTGGGGACAGCAGGCAATGGCTCAAATAGTTGGGTTCCTGCTATTCACACAAAAAACTCAGATGTAGTTCCTGGGCTTCACCTGGCTCAGTTGCAACGGGTGCAACTTATGAGGCGTGAAGATCTCTGCCCCATCTATCCGCCTCTTTCTCTTCACATAAATACTCTCAAAACATTCAGATTTTGCAGTATTATTGCTAAGTTCTTTGACAATGAGCATTTATTTTATGTCTGACCCTGTTCTATTTACTAAAGTGTCTTACTTATCCTGACACTCAAGTTTACAACCCTGCAGTTTTGGGCATCTGAATTTGTAGCCTTTGGACCATGTCTTCTAAAGTTGGTATGTGGAAGCATAATTTGAATTATAGACAATACAGAAGGAGAAGGCTTACAGTTATTTCTGATTCAAATTATTATTGGAGACCATAAAACGGCATTCACACTCAGGGTAGATGTCTGGCCAACTCCTTAAGGCATCATCAGTCAGAATCCCTGCGTTCCATATCAGACTGCCTGGACTGAATATCTGACTCCAGCTTCCTGCACATGCCAACGCTAGGGGGCAGGTAGTAACTGGTTTCCTGTGACTCACTGTGGGAGATTTCATTTTTTGTAGTCTACAAAGAAATGAGTGGATAAGGAGAGTGGGCTATCAGAGTAGGACCCATAAGTTTGAAATGCGAAATTCTGCTGTTGCCAGAACGTTAAGCCTCTGCCTGCACTGTCAGGATCCCACGTGGGCACCAGTTCAAGTCCTGGCTTTCCATTTCCCATCCAGCTCCCTGATTGTGCCCTGGGAAAACATCAGAGGACAGTCCAAGTGTTGGCGGGATGTTGGAGACCTTGACAAAGTTCCTGGTGCTGGCTCCAGATTGCCTCAGCTCCTGCCATTGCAGCTCTCTGAAGCAACGGAGGATCTTTTTCCTCTACTTAAATTACAACTTTAGGGAAGAAATAAAGGACAAAAGAGCCAAGAAGAGTTAAGAACCAAGATGCTGGAGCCCCTATTGTAGCATTATACACTTTAGATTCTTTGTAACTGCCCCATATTTTACTTACAGGCAATGCATTGTCTTCATAACGAATACTAACAAAATTCTTGTCTGAAAAGGCTAAAGCGTATCTCTGGGGACACTAAAAAGAGAAACTTAAGAAAACTACATTCCACCCTGACAATCAAACGGGTTATAAATAATGCATCAAGGACAGACTGCATTTCTGCATCCTCCAACCAGAACTACAATCTGCAAAATAATAAACCAGGAAGAAAGAAGTTGGTTGGCCTGGGATGAGAGATCAGGGGAAGACAGACATGCTCCATATCTGGTATCATCCTATTGCTGAAGGAGTTAGTACAGAAATAATCTACTGCACTGACCAATGGGAGCTTATCTTTTTCTCCCTTTTCAAAATATTTTAAAAGTCTTACCTAGAAAGATGATTCTTGACTACAAAATGTTTCCTTAAAAAAAAAAAAAGGAACAGAAATACTCAAGCATTGCACATTTTACATAGTATTTGCTCTAGACAAATGTTAACAGACTGTGTTCTCACATTCATCAAGCAACTATTCAAACTGGACCTGCTTTTCCAACGTTCCACGACACTAACAGACATGCAGGTTCTGCAGCCAGACACCCAAGACGGGTCTCCTTTGCTCACACCGTAACACAACTTAGGCATCTTTTTTGTGCTTCCTTCAGGAAACTGCAAGAGAAGCCAGGCCTATCTCAGGGTCCTCGTGATCAAATGAAAACTTGTCTGACAGCTGCTTAGACCTGCCAAGTACTTTAAGTAGAAACTCAGTTCAGCCCTCATCAAGCTGGGCACTTTTCACATCGGTGGTTTTTAGCAAACCACCTCAGCACACTTCAAGGTTGAAAACAATAAACAAGGCACTTCAGGGGCGGTCCAGCGCTCGACGCCGTCCCTCGCGCGCTTTGAAGGCCGCTTCTTTCACTTCTTCACAACGTTTGGCAGGAAACCTGCAGCAGGCTGCACTCGCCGGCAGCTCGGTACTGTCCCGGCTGGGACAAAGCTGGGACGCCACCAGCGACCATTCATCCCCCACGGGCGAGACCCACGCGGGGCTGCAGCCCTGTAGCCCGGCTTCCTCCCCAGCCTGCCGGCAACCTAGCAACGAACCGGCGGGCCCACAACGCCTTTCCATTTTCCCACGTCCCGTCCCTGACTCCTCCCAGCCGCCGCGGCGGCAGCAGCGCATGCGCAGCTCCGCTTCCGGCCGCCGCGCCTCGCTACCCACAAGGCTCCGCGCCGCCGACCTGTCGCAAAGGCCGCGTTGGGGGCGGCGAATGAGCGAGGCGCTTTCCGTGTGGTCCGGCGGCGGTGGCGGCCGGCTCTCCCTCCTGCTCCCGCCGCGGGGTGCGATTCCCCGCCGGTCTCCAGCCGCGTCCCAGCCTGGCCGGTGCTCCCTGCCTCCTCCGCCATGCCCCCCAAGAAACAGGCTCAGGCCGGGGGCAGCAAGAAGGCGGAGCAGAAGAAGAAGGAGAAGATCATCGAGGTGAGGAGCCGCCCCCTCCCCCACTCGCGCGCCCGCCCCCCGCGGGACTCGGGGCCGCGGCGGGCCCTGGCCACGTGTGCGTGTCCCCCCACGGCGGTGTCCAGCGCCCGGGGCCGCTGGCCGGCCTCTCATCGCTATAGTGACGCGCCGGCCCCGCCGCCCACGCGCCGCCCCGGCTCGGGGTTACAGCCTTGGGTGCAACTTGGCGAGAACCGACCGGGGCCGAGGGTTCTCGGGGGCTGTGTGCGCAGGACACCTGCCCACGGGCTCGGGTCGGGCTTTCTGGAAGGCTGACTCATGATGGGTTTCTGTGAGCCCATCACAGGTTTGCTGCTGATTTTTCTGGAGCCGGCCGATTGTTGGGCGGCTGTTGGGAGCCACCTCGCAAGTGTCCAGGGCCTAGAAGGAACGGAGGTTTCTTTCGGCTTGCACACACTGCCTGTTAGATAACGCACATTCCAAGTCAGATGAAATAAAATGGATCCGGTTTATAGTATCACTAACCGTGCTAAATGCCGCATCCTGTGTGTTTTTTGTATGTTCGTTCTGTAACTCCCTGATAGCCTAATCTTTAGATTCTTGGGTGCTCTACCGTTGTTTTCAAATAGCTATTAGTTCTCCAAGGAGCGTGAACCCCATTTGACGTTTCATAGAGAGCCACCAGTAATAAGATTATCACTTCCCTCCATTTCTGTTAATCCTTCTCATAATTAAAATGAATAGCCTCTTGTGTATTTTTCAGTATCATTTGAAAGACATGACCAGTTTACTACATGATGGTATTTGGGTGATGGGCAGCCTTTAAACTAAAACGCTTAAGAAGGAGGAGTTTCCCTTGGCCAAGTTTCAACTCTGAAGTAGAACCTGTATTCTTGGCTAATTTGTGCTGTGTAAAACTGTCATGAAGTGCCACAGACAGTAACCAGCTGTTTAAAAACAAAATGATTGTTGCCTCTACACCTCTGTTCATCATTGCTTTTTATGTTATTTGAGAGGCAGAGTGTGAGTGGGAATCTATTGGTTCACATCCCAGATCACCAGGACTGGGCCAGAGCCAAGTGTAGACTCCTGGAACCAGGAAAATGTTAACGCAGTTATTCTGACCATCTCTGTTGCCTTCCAGAATTTGCATTAGCAAGTCAGAACCAAATCCAGGAATTCTCCCTTAGGAGGTGTCTATGGACCGCTAGGGCAGGCTCCCACCTCTGTTAATCACCTGGGATGATTGTTCTGGAGACATCTGGTGTTGGGTAAACCAAGGGCAGTTTAAGGATTTCATTTTAAGTTTTCTTTACTAAAGAGTAACTTGATAGACTGCTATACAAAGTAACATCGTGAAGGGCAAGCATCAGAGTGCTTGGGCTGGAGAGACCGGGCTGCCTTCCCCCAGGTCCAGTCCTGCTTGTGCACACCTTGGGTCCTTGCCTCCAGGGCCGAGACCTGGGTTACATTCCCCTCTCTTCTACCTGGTCACTGGGGGAAGGGACCCCATTTGAAGTGTGAACCAGCCAGTGAATCTTTGTGTCATTCAAAATAGAATTTCAGGGTCACATGTCAATTTGAAGTCCATTTTAGGCACAAATGTAATTTTTTTGTTTATTCGAGAAGCAGATGGATTGCCTATCTGGCTGGTTCACTCCTCGGATACCTCTGATGTCCAGCACTGGCTGTGCTGAGGCTGGGAGCCTGGAACTCTCCAGGTCTCCTTGCTGCCAGGGACCCAGCGACCCAGCGACCCCAGTCATGCCTGCCGCTTCCCAGGGCCTGCACGGAGGGAAGGCTGGCATTAGTAACAGAACCCAGGTGTCCACTCAGGCACTCTGCTGCTGGCTTCTTAGCCACTACGGTAGTGCATATCCCTGTTTGGGGTTTAATTGATACGGCTGAGTGTTTGTTAAGAAAATTGTTTGTAGTTATTCATGGTATCCCATCAACTCTCAAACTGTAATAATTTGTAAGAAGATTATTAAGATAATATAAATACTGCATTCTTTAACTGACCAAAGAAAGTGAGGGAAATTAAGCATGTTTTCTTTGTTTGCATTTAATGCGTATAATGGACTTTTTTTTTAACTGTACTAAAATTTTTGCAAACTCAAATGTGCTTTATGTTTGCTGCACTGAATGGAGTACATGAATACTGTAAATCATTAAATTCCCTCTGGTTAGGAAACAGTATATTTTACTTTATTCAAATACATAGACAATTTTGTCTTCTCTGAAGGCCCAGCATGTTTGTAGAACCAAGTTTAACTTCCTGCTCCCTTATTCAACTTTTATTCGAAATAGTACTTTATTTATTTACTTTTAAAATTAAGATTATTTTTATTTGAAAAGCCGAGTTGTGGGGACGGGGGGGGGGGCAATTTTTCATACATGAACTCACTCCCCAAATGGCCACAAATGCCCAGTCTGAGTTATTTGGAGCCAGAAGACAGGAGCCTCTTCTGGGTTTCCCCACATGGGGGCACCCAAGAGCTTGAGCAATCTTCTGCCGCTTTCCCAGGCCATCAGCAGGGAGCTGGATCAGAAGTGGAGCAGCCGAGATACACACTGGGGCCTCTGGGACATATTTTTATATACATTTATGAAGCTTCAAATAAAATAATTTTTATTACCATAACAAAAAATTAAAGGGAAATATATTTTCTGACAAACTCTTAATGAGCATAGTTGAAACTGCTTCAAACTAGTTACTGATCTTGATAATCAAATATTGATACCAAACACTTTTTTACTTTGTTGATTGTCTGTTTTGATGTGTAAAAATGAGCACATCAGAGTCTGGTTAATTTGGGGAGATCTTATATACATAATTGTTGGAAATTCTAAATGTAGAGTGGCTAGCAGTTACAGCATTTGCATTCTGTATGGGTGCAGGTTCAGGTCCTGGCTATTCACTTCTGCTCCAGCTTCCTGGCCTAGAAAAGCAGCAACAGGTGGTCCCTGTCCTTGGGCTTCTGCATCCATGTTGGAGGCCCAGAGGAAGCTCCTGATCTGACCACAGCTGCAGTCAGTTGGGGCATGAACCAACACATGGAAGATATTTCCCTGTATCTCTGCCTTTCAAATACTGACATGTGTAAGTTTAGTCAAAATGAACAGTGTCATCATATACTTTTATGCAGCTGTTTGAGTAGACTTCACAACAAACATTGCAGACTGGCACTATATCCTAGTGGCTAAGGTTCTTGCCTTACATGCACTGGGATCCCATATGGGCACTGGTTCGTATCCTGGCTGCTCCACTTTCCAACAAGTTCCCTGCTTGTAGCCTAGGAAAGCGTTAGAGAGAGGATGGCCCAAGGGGACCCTGCACCTGCATGGGAGACCTGGAAGAAGCTCCTGGCTTCAGATGGGCTCAGCTCAAACCATTGTAGCTACTTGGAGAGTGAACCAACAAATGAAAGATTTTTCCGTCTGTCTCTCTCAGTAAATCTGACATTCCAACAAAAATAAATACTTCTTTTAAAAAAAATTGTTAGCCTACTACCACTTGGATCTCAGTGTATGGAGGCTCAACTTTTCTTATTTACTACTTTGCACTGCCCAACTCCCCAGTTCAGGTTAATTTTTAGTTAAGAGTCTGTTCTAAGTTCCAAGAAAAGAAAGCCTTTTTGAAGCATTCTAAATTGTAAACCTGCTGTTTCAAGAGACACTGCGGAATCCCAGAGCCACAGTGTTGACGGTTGGAAAGTTTTTATGTACTAGTCGACACAGTAGCTTAACCAGTTTTCTGGGAGAAATCATCTTCCACCATAGATGAAACAAAAGAGCCAAACATACCTTGATTTAAAAACAATCTTTCATTTAATAGCTAACACTTACTGGGCTAGACACAGTTCTTAGTGTTTTGAGAAAAGGAGAAGCGAGAGTACATCGCTTCTTTAACTCTGTCACTGAGTTTAATGATTATTACCCTTTTTACAGTTGAAGAAATGGGAACAGAGGTAAATAACTTGTCCCCAAGGTTACTGAACTAGCAGGTGGCAGAGCGAGGATTGAATCTAGGAAATCTGGCTTGCTGGTTCTTGCTGTAAACCACTACTTTACATTCCTCTCTACATTAAATCTTACAATTTTTCTAGCAACCCTTAAGATTTAGAGTTACATTCACCTTCTAGTTTAAAAACAATAGCCAACTAAAACACAAAAACCGTGACCAAGGTTTTCCAAGTATGGTTGGCAATAGAACTTGGGCAGTCCAGCTACAAACTTAGGCTCTATACCACACTGCCCGTGTCTTCTTAGTATTGTAGCTTCAAAGAGTTGTTTCCCACTTCTCACTTTCTGTGTTCAGATTTACGGAATTAGATAATACTGTCTCACAGATTTTTTGTTAAGTAAGTATTGAGAAGTCTGTTTAATGAGTGTTAGATAAATGTGCCTCCTTTCTCTAAAAAATAATTTCTGAGCTATAACCTAATTAGAGACTTCCAGAACAACTCATTCATTATCTCTTCAGCCTGGTTAATTATGTATTAAAGCACTTTAATTAAAGCTGAAAACTTTTTTCTTCTGAATCTGAAGTCTACATACCCAACTATAAATTGTCCTATGAATACTTTTCCTAAGCTGAATGTGTCCTGTTAGGGGACTTTTTTCTTTCCTGATTTTTTTTGTATTTATGTTTACCTTGCTTGGCCTTGTTTACTCATAGTTTACATCTCTGTAATTCCATATAGAGCATAGATGGACTCCTGGTCAGACTGCTCTCTGGCAGAACATTTGTATATGCAGTTACACTTTGGTCCTGATTGGGTGGTATATAGATTCTCATCTCCCTAGTAGGATATTTTTATTATTATTATTGTTGTTATTGTTATTGTTTTGGTACAAGAAAGCTGGTATTTCAGACCTGCTAACTGCACTAAGGTCATCTTTAAATCCGGTTATATTTCACTTTTTGTTCTAGAAAAATAAGGGGAAAACATCCATCAAAAGCTTAATGAGGAAAACCCAATCGTATACTTTGCTGAATCAGCAGTAATTCTTATGGACTGTTAAAATTCTGCAATGTGTTTCAGACTATATTTTTCATATACATAGGCATGGCGTTAGGAAATTCTTTTAATTTTTCTATTATATCATTTTGGAATAGTAGAACATGAGCCAGGAGCTTGCATTTAACACAGCAGTTAAGGTACCACTTGAGATACTGCCATTCCACATGGAATTGCCTAGAATCAAGTTCTGACAAAAGAACAGAGCAGTCAGGACTGAGTGCTCACCTAAAAGTGTGTTGAGGTTCAAGTGAATTTGCTTGGGAGGCATTGGTAATACAGACGGGCAGACTGAAAACTGGGCATTAAACATAAGAGTTCTTACCTATTACAACTTGCTGAGATTACAAGCACTCAGTGAGTTGATTACTTTCCAAGAAATTAGAGGTCTATTGCTTGCAATAAGGTGGGAACAAGAGGCCCCTCTCCCCTTTTTTAACACTAGGCACCGAAGAACTATTTCATCTTAGCAATTGGTAAAAATTTATGCTTCTCAGTATTTTCTTTATCAAATTTTGTTGTTGTTTTAGCTCCCTGCTAAAGGCCTAGGAAAAGTAAAGGGAGATGGCCGAAGAGTTTGGACCCTCTGGTACCTGTTTGAGAGACCTAGATGGAGGTGTTAGCTGCTGGCTTCAGCCTGGCTCAACCTTGACCATCGTGGCTATCTGGGGAGTGCACTACTCTGTTGAAGCTTTTTTTTGCTTGGTTGATTGTTTTTGGGTTCTTTGTTTTGTTTTTTCTTAAGGATTATTTTTATTGGAAAGACAGATTTACAGAGAGAAGGGACAAAGATCTTCCATCTGTTCACTCCCCAGTTAGCCACAATGGCCAGAGCTAAGTGATCCAAAGATCAGGAGCTTTCCTCCAGTCTCCCACAAGGCTGCAGGGCCCCAAGGCCATTTTCCACTGATTTTCCAGGCACAAGCACAGAACTGGATGGGAAGTAGAGCAGCTGGGACACAAACCAGTGTCCTTAGCTAATTGAACCATCACACTGGGTCCTTTTTCTATCTCTCTTTCTGTAACTCTACCTTTCAAATAAATAAATTCTTAAGTATATAAATAAATAGATTCAGTTGGTGTTTTGCGATTTCTACCCCAAAAACTTACATAGGCTTATTGCCTTCCTAGCTGGTGGATCTTTCCATACAAATTGAAAATACACTGAGGAATACAAAGACCTGGTAGTTAGTTGGTTTCTCATTAGGTGCCACTCTGCATTATGGTAAAGCCCATTATTCACGCCCACTATATTAGCTATATGAAGTTAAAATGCACTAAATGGCTTTTGAAGGTATTGATATGAAATCAGCTGACATCAGAGCCATACGCTCTGAAGGCCATGGACATTTTTTCGTTTTTGGTGGCATCTTGCAGTTTTTTGATTTCCTTGGCTGTTTCGTTCTAATGTCTGTCTTCACATTGTCTCCTCTGTTTCTGTGCTTTCATCTTTTAGAGACACTAGTCATGGCACTTTGAGCAACCATAATCTAGTGTGACCTCAGCTTACTTGCAAAGTTACTTCCAAATACAGTCACATGAAAGTATTCTGAAACTGTGATTAATGTTACAAATGGAATTTTTTTTTAAAGACTTTATTTTTGTTTGAAAGTCACACAGGGAAAAAGAAGAGACACACAGAGAGGTCCTTGTCTGCTGGTTCACTCCCCAAATAGCTGCAACAGCTGGAGCTTCTTCCCAGTCTGCCACGTGGATGTTGGGGCCCAAGGACTTGGGTCATTCTCCACTGCTTTCCCAGACTACCAGTAGCAGGATGAAAGGTGAAGCAGCCAGGACCCAGTTATCCATATGTGATGTTGGAAACACAAGTGGAGAGTTCACTAGCTATACCACCCCCTACAAGTTGAATTTTTTTTTTAAGTATTGCCTAGGGGCCAGCATTGTAGCATAGTGTCACCAGCATCCCATATGGACGCTGGTTCGGATCCTGGCTGCTCTGCTCTGTACAGCTCCCTGCTAATGGTCTGGGAAAAGCAAACAAAATGGCTCAAGTGTTTGGGTACCAGCTGCCCGCTTGAGAAACTTACATGAAACTTGTACCCCCAGCTTTGGCCCCGGCCAACCCTTAGCCACATGGGGAATGAACCAACAGATGGAAAGTTTCTCTATATATACAACTTTCAAATAAATGTTTTTTTTAAAACTATGTTGCTTATTTGGTATAGCTCAATTTTTAACATTTCTGCTTTAGAACAATGGAGAATGTGTGCTTCCCATTATTAATTTTTGAAAGGATATTTATTACTGTGAAAATTAATCTGGAATTTAACTTATCTTTGGCTTGTGTAGTATTTCCCAAAATATTTTCAGCAATACATAATCCTTCTGGAAAGTCCTGAATGGGAAAATGCATATTGAAATAAAATAAGACTCGGAAGTGTAAGATTTATGCCGTATCTGTCCTGGTTAAGGCTCAAAGAAATATTGTGGTTAAAGATTTATTTTTTAATCAGTTTGAAAGGCAGAGTTACAGAAAGCAAGAGAAGAAGAAACAAAAATTTTGCATCCACTGTTTCATACGCCAAATGGCTACATCTGCTGGGACTGTGCCAAACCAAAGCCTAAAGGATCCCAGAGTCCTTCCAGGTCTCCCCCATGCGTGCAGGGGCCCGAACACCTAGGCCGTCTTCTGTTGCTTTTGCAGATGCTTTAGCTGGGAGCCGAATCAGGGATGGGCTAAGTTTCAAACCAGCATGTAGTAGTCTGGTGGCAGCCTACAGCACTGGCCTCCCAAATGTTTTCTTAAACTGTTTGGATTGTGAGACTTACCCCGGTGTAACAGCTGTCTATCATACAGAACTGGAAAAATTAAACTTTAGGAAGTGGATCATAGAGTAAAAAGTTTAATGATAGTTACAAGTATGTGCTGAATAATAAAGAGTCCTAGGTAATATTTTGACTGTCATATATTGCTTTGACTAAGTGTTATACAAAGAAATGTAAAACATTAGGGAGAATGTTTTTAAAATAAATAAGTTAAAGAATGAAAATATGTATGTATATAAATTGTTGAAGTATTTCCATGTTCTCTCTTTTAGGACAAAACTTTTGGTCTAAAGAATAAGAAAGGAGCAAAGCAGCAAAAGTTTATCAAAGCTGTGACTCATCAGGTTAAATTTGGTCAACAAAATCCACGACAGGTAAATAATTTAATTTTTATGAGTGTAAGATTACACAGCATCTGCTACAGATAAAAAGCATTTGCTATTGTATTTTTAAAGCTTTAATATCTTTTTTTACGCAGATGTACATCTTATATTTTCCTGTAAGCCATTTCGATAGTTATTTTTGTATAACATTGGCTGCATGCTATTCTGTAGTAGGCTTATTCATCTGTTTCATTACTTCTAAGTGATCACTTTACAGCTTTCTGACACTAGGAACTCTGTAAGAAATATCTGCATGTGTTGAACATGTGTATAGTATCTCTGGCAGAGGTTTTCTGGTGACTTTCTACTTCAAGGGAAATGAATTTATAATTTTGACAAGTTAGTCCAGTTACTTTGTGTATATGTTTTCATTTACAGCAGATGATAAGTTCTTGTTAGTATAATCTAATCTGAGCGGTGTAAACTGATGCCTCTTGTGTCCCTCACTATTGGAAAGTGGGGCCCGGCGGCGTGGCCTAGCGGCAAAAGTCCTCACTATTGGAGAGTTTATTTTTCATATGCTCTTGGCCATTTGAATTGTACTTCTGTGACCACTTCAGTGCAATACTCTTTTTTTGTCTTCTTGTCACTTTATCAAAAATGCCATTTGTATAAATTGCAGGAAGTTTGTGATGTCTTACTTATATTTTGCCATGCCACACTTTTTAGTTTTGTCACGTAAGTGTAGTTTGTAACAAATACAGTTAAATGGTCTCCCCTGCCACTAGATAGTGCATGGTTTTCCTGCATTTACCTTGTTTTTATTTTCAGTTTACAATTTCTCATAAATTTGTTTTATGTGTCCTTAAGTTTGCTTTCTTTTAAATGAATAACCTCTTGTCCCAGGACCATTTATCTTACTGAAGTTTTAAATATATTAGGCTTTACTTCTGGATTCTTATTTCTGTACTACCTAATATATATCACTGAGTACTACATTCATTTTTATTATAGTAGCTAGTAATATACTATTAGCTATTAAAGCAAGACTTCTCCCAAGAACATTCCTTTTAATCCTCATGTGAATTTGAAATTTATTCATTGGAAATTCATGCAAAACTATTTAGGACTTTTACTGCTTTTAAAGTTCTTTCATGTGTTAAAATTTTGTAGTCATGCCCTTTTTTTTTTTTTTTTGCCATTCTTAGCTTTTTTTTTTAACTTACAGAAACACTTTTTTTTTGTTTTTAATTATTTGAATGGTTTCAGTGGGCAAAGGGGTAAAAAAGATCTTCTGATTTGCTCCCCAACTGCCAGACTAATACCAGAAATCTCAAACATGAGTTGAGTCTTCAACAACAGGGATGTCAGAGACATAAGGACTTACATCCTTTTTAATGCAAGGGAGAAGAAAATCAGTGTTTTTTGTTTTGTTTTAAGATTCATTTATTTTTATTGAAAAGTCAGATTTATGGAGAGAAGGAAGACAGAAGAGATCTTCCATCCTCTGGATTTACACCTGAGTGGCTGCAGTGGCCGGAGCTGAGCCGATCCAAAGCAAGGAGGTTCATGTAGATCTCCCATGCGGGTGCGGGCTCCCAAGGCACTGGGCCATCCTCTAATGCTTTCCCAGGCCACAAGCACAGAGCTGGGTGGGAAGTAGAACAGCTGGGATACGAACCAGCACCCATATGGGATCCTGGCTCATACAAGCAGATGAGAACTTGAGCCACTAAGTTAACATGCTCTGCCTGAAAATATCCTAACTATACTTTAATTTTTTTTTTTACATCCCACTATCAGAATATGTATTTATGAGATAATTAATCTGCATCTGAAATAACTTTCTACTATATTGACTACAAATCAATTCTCAGCTTTTTTTTGAACCTCCAACCTGGTTCTTGAAGCAACAATTGTTGTTCTTCCAAACTGCAAATTGTAATAGCCTGGTTTAATAAAAATGTGTTTTTGATTTCTAATATTTGCAACTTCTACATCTGTAGAATCAAACAACTAGGGATCAGAACATTTTTAAATGTTGTTACTGCCATGTAGTATGTTTTATTTATTTATTTTTTGAAGATTTATTTATTTTTGTTGGAAAGACAGGTATACAGAGAGAGGGAGAGACAAATATCTCTGTCCACTGATTCACACCCTAAGTGGCTGCAGTGGGCCAGAGCTGAGCCAGCCAGGAGCCAGGAGCTTCTTCTAGGTTTCCCAAGCAGGTGCAGGCTCCCAAGGCTTTGGGCCACTGGATGGGATGTGGGGCAGCCGGAACACAAACTGGCACCCATATGGGATCCCAGTGCATGCAAGATGAAGATTTAGTCACTAGGGTATTGCGTCAGGCCTGCCATATGGTGTGAAATTAGGCCTATGATGAGTATGTTTGCCTCTTCACTGTACATATATTTAGATTTTTCTTGTCAATAATTCCTAAACAACATAGCATAGCACTTATGTTGTAATTAGTTATTATAAGTAGTTTATAAATAAAATAAATGGTAGGATGTGAGTAGGTTATGTACAGATAGTATGGCATTTTATAGTGGGCATGAGCTTCCATGACTTGGTGTCCTCAGGGGTCCAGGAACCAATCCTACATAAGGACATCCAGGGACAGCAGTGTGGTCTGACCTTAGAGTCGAGCAGACCTAGGTGTCAGGTGTGCAGTAGAAGGACAGTTAACCTTGATAGGGTTTCTTCTGCTGGTTAAATGGGAAGAAAATATAAATCTTCCGGCAAACGTATGAATTAAGAATACTTCTCTTTATTCCCATAATTTCATTTTCAATCTTCTCTTGGTCAACTTCCTTTTTCTTCAGGGGAGAAGTATTTCAAATGATTCCAGATTTCATAGATCTGAAAACGTAAAGCCGTAAAGCTTGGAGCTGGCAGTTAAATTTTAGAGTACATTAAATATTACGGGTTTAATATTTTCTTGGCACTTGGACCGTGTTATGTGACCCTGGAGTGCATTGAACTCTCCATGTAGTCAGTAGTGCTGCTGTTAGAGCTGAGCCTGAGGTACGCCTCTGCACAGTGCTGCGGAGGACAGCAGTGCTCTCAGAACTCCTCGGTTGGTGTCTCTTCCTCAAATACAGAGTGAGGCTAAAAGGATGTGGCCACGCAGATTTTTTTACACTGCTCCCTCCAACAGCTTGAGCTCACCTGCAGATCCTGAAAAGACCTGTTCTGCCAGGGTTACTGTGTTGTTCCCAGTATGCCTGAAGTAGCCCAAGGAAGAATGTGTACAAGGGGGTATGGGCAGAGCCTGGGTTCGTACCTCTTACTTCTTCTGTATACACAGGGTAGAGAATGAAACTGGGGATAGGAGAAGAGAAAGAGGAACCTGGGATCTAGTCAGTTACTACCTTGCTTTAGTACGAATTCCATGGAGCCTAGTGTTTTCCATTTGAACTACTTCAAGTCATAAGGCCATACACATTTGTCAACCAATAGTATAAACTGTATTTTCTTGATTTTTAACTTTTATATACTTAGATAGTTTGTGAGCCTCCATTACACTTTTGCTCTTGTCCCATATGTTTGTGGTAGGGCTTACAAGCAAAGAAAACTTAGTAAATATATATATAAAGTGACTTAACTTTTTTTAATATTTCTGTTTAAAAATATTCACTATATGATTTGAGTCAGCATAGGGATATCTTTGACTTTATTACAGCATTTGGCCATTCCTTCCCTAAAATTTGTTTCTTCAACTTTTTGTTTGTTTGTTTGGGTCCTAATTTCTACTTCTTTTGATATTTTTTAGTCTTCATGGTGGGATGTTTGTAAAGTTTGTATTCCCTTAACCTATGTAGTGTTGGCATTCAAGAAAGTATCCTTTGTTCTTCATACTTTTTTATACTATCTTTAAATAATTTCATAACACCCCAAATTTTACCAGTTGCTATCTAAGCTGTTACTTCTGAAATCTTTATCTCGGTCCAGACTTTCGGGCTTCATGCAGTCTGTATCTGTATGCAGCTGCCTTCTGCATCGCTCCACCTAGATGCTCTGTAAGCATCTCATACTCAGTATGTCCTAAACTGAAATCATCTCCACCTGCTACCCTGAAACCTGTTCCTCCTGTATTCCCTGTCTTGTTTAACAACACTAGACATGGCATGTGATAATCCTAGACTCCTCCTCCTCATTTCCCTGGTTCAGCAATTCATTTACTGAGTTCTGTTTCCTAAAGAATGTTAGCTGTCTTTTTTCTGTATCTTAACTGCTAATACTCATGAGCTGCTCTTGTGTATTCTTTCCTAAAACAATTGCAATGGCTTCTTTGCCCTCATTCTTGGATTCTTATTCTATGCTCCACAAAGCTAGCATCATGATTCTTAGGAAATATAACCTGATCTCGTCACTGACTGACTTTAAACCCTTTAGTTCTATTTATCACTACGTGAACAGTCCAGACTCCTCATGGATAGTTCTCATACTTTGTTCATCTGATACTGGTGTCTGCATTGGCTACAATCCCTTTCTGCATTTCTTTTCTTGCCCATCAGGAAGACACATCCATACAGTTTTTAGCTGAATCTGATTTTCTTAGGCATATTCCCAGAGTCTCATGTATTATTACACACAGCTGTTGACATGTCTGTCTTCCCACTAGGTTCTGAGCTTTAAATAAGATCTTTGTCTTTTCACCTTTGTATTCCCTGTCATCTAACATAGGACCTGACATATATATGTTTGGATGACTCCTCTAATCATAGTAGGTATGTAAATTGTGTGCCTGGAACTATGTTATGTGTTACATTTAGTCTCCTACGCTGACCTAGCCAAAAGGACACTATAGGTATTGTGGGTGGTATATTTATTGTATGGGACCATACATATATTCAGAATGTTCACATCTCTCATCTTCAAAATGCAGCCATTCATTACTGGGGAATGGGTTGCTTTCATAGGGAGAATGACCTAGGTGAAAACCATTTACTAAATATGCGGGGCATGTGGTTAAGGCTTAATAAATGCTTGTTGCTATAAGCTTTTGAAAATGCTTTTAACTAGGCATGGTACCATTTATAGAACAAAAAGAATCATTTCCAAGTTTAGCAGTTTTAATAGTTTAACCTCAGCATTTACTAAAAATAAAGCTATTTTAACACTGAGAAGGTAAAGAACATACATATATATATCAAAATCTGGATGTCCTTGTTATACTAGTTGTAACTACCAAATAATTAATACAACTTTCTAAACTGTCAAATTTACATTTTAAAACTGGGAACGTTATAGGTAGCACAAAGTGAAGCTGAGAAGAAATTGAAGAAAGATGACAAGAAGAAAGAATTGCAGGAATTAAATGAGCTCTTCAAACCTGTGGTTGCTGCTCAAAAAATTAGTAAAGGTAAATTTTAATTTTCAGAGCTGTTAAGAACTATTGATTTCTTTATTTTTTATCTTTAGCTATTAAGGCAGTTGTGTCTGCTACAAATTTATCAAAATTAATAGGTATCAGTGGCTTATCTGGGTTTCTCTATACAAGAGTACTTTAGAACGTTTGTGGGAAAAAATGGAAATGACTGATAAAAGATTTAAGATGATTGGTTAGCCTTGCTATGGCACCTGACTCCAGCTTCCTGCTAGTACAGTCCTTGGACACAAACTGTGCTAGCTGAAATAATTGGGTTCCTGCCAACCATGTTGCAGACCTGGGTTGAGTAGGCCAAATTTTGGCTGTTTTAGCCATTTGGGGAGCAACCCAGCAGGTGGGAACACTTGCTCTTTTTCTCCCTATGATCTTTCTCTACCTCAGTGATGATAAATCTGTTTTGGCATAGAAAAATTGGAATGCGTGCATAGTTTTTCCATCATATTCACCATTCAGAAATATACTAGTCTCTGCATTTCCATTTTCCATGAAATTTTTGAAGTTCCTTCATGTGCAGGGCTGTGCCTTTGTACAAGTAACTGTGATTTTAAGCATTAGCCTTATTTTTTTTTTAATGTAAATTTAAGAATTTAGAGTCTTTCAATTGATTTATAATATCCAGTCTTTGACAGTAGTTGAGGCAAAGCCATGGTTGATTAGGTTGTAATTTACAAATTCTTTTGGCACTGTACCTTGATTTGTATGTTTCTCTTGCCTTCTGCTTCATTGATTCCAATTAGACAAATGACTATGAAATAACCTATCTGTATATTTAGTTTCGCACTACTTGCTACCTTTTAAAATGAGATTTAAAAATACATTAAAAGTACTACTTTTTAAAAAAAAAATACATGCTACTTAGTTGTAAGGACAGTTTCCCCTAATATCAGTGAAGGAAGACTCATCATTTAGCCAAAAGCAGTGATAATGTTACATACAAACTATATTTTATGACCTGGCAAATGCTGCTTGACACAGGTGCAGATCCCAAGTCCGTGGTATGTGCATTCTTCAAGCAAGGACAGTGTACTAAAGGAGATAAGTGTAAGTTCTCTCATGACTTGACGCTGGAGAGAAAATGTGAAAAGCGAAGTGTTTACATTGATGCAAGAGATGAAGAACTTGAAAAGGGTATGTCTTTTAACATTCTCTTAAAGTAACTAAGATATGTACTAACTTGAACATTTCAATTTAAGGATTATGTTTGTAGAAATAATTGGATTTGTTAGCTTTTCACAAAATCAACTTGCTGTATTATGCCCCTTTTTAAATAAGATCAGAAATTTAGCAAACAGTGATTGATTTCGTATTTCAGTGTTGCCCTTTTTGTTCAATACAACTTTCACTTTTGCCAAACCCAGTTAGGAAGCTTTGATGCATGATTTCGCACTTATATTCCAAGTCCGTTGTTTTAAAAGAAAATTTGTTAGTTTATGAATCTTGTGGTACAGCATCACCATCTTTTAAAAGAGATGTGTTACAGAAGCATCAGGAAAAAATGTGTTTACTCTTCATACTTTTTTTTATTTAGATACTATGGACAATTGGGATGAGAAAAAACTGGAAGAAGTAGTGAACAAGAAGCACGGTGAGGCGGAAAAGAAAAAACCAAAAACTCAAATAGTATGTCCTTTTCTTAAATTGAGTTGCTGTGATATTTTCTCGTTAGGCAGAATTATGTGACAAGGTATCTGCTGCTATTTTCTACTGAATTTTTCTGTAAGTTGTTAGGAAATTAAATTTTATCGTGAGAAGATGCCTGGAGTTTTTTTCAGGAGGGATTTACAAGTTACATTTTATGAAAATCTTGTTCGGAAGAAAGCCTCTGAAAGCCCTGCTTTAAATGCCATGTTCTAAGGGGAATGTGGATGAAATAAATGATACTCAGATAAGAATTCTTTGCTTATTTTTTGTATAATGAATGGAGACATGTTAAATTTGCACACTTAATTAAATAATTGTTTATGTAATTAGGAGACAATCTTAAATTTACAAAACTATGTACATGTACTATTTTAATACTTTATTTCTTTATTTGAAATGTAGCTTCAGAGAGAGTGGTAAAAACAGAGATCTGCCACATACTGTTTCACTGCCAAATGATTGCAGTGGCTGAGGTGCCAGACCAGAACTCCATCTTGGTCTCTCGTGAGGGTACAGAGCCCAAGCACCTGGCCCATCGATCGTGGGTTCCCAGGCTCTTTGGCAGGGAGCTGGATTGTAAGCACTGAGCAACCACTGAATTATTCTATACAGTTTCAAAAAAAGGATTTTTGGTGGGTAGTAGTAGTTGTAGAATTCTAGGACAGATTCCAAGAATTAGTAATTTCTCAGACTCTGTTCATGTTTACATGTTTATCTAAATTTAATTATAGAGAAAAATCTTAGTGTGTTAGAAAAATTCTAAATGTCATTTGTACAGATATCTACAGATATCTAATGGATTTTTCTTTTTCCTTTCTTTTTTTTTTTTAAGGTAGAACAGAATTTATGTTAACTTTTCCTTATTGGTGAACCTTTTACAGGCACCTTCAATATAGTTGCAATTTTCATCTCTTCATATAGATACAGATTTTTTTTTCTACACAGTCATTCACAGGTCTTCCATCTCATTTTCTTTCTTTTTTTTAAGATATTTTATTTTTAATGGAAAGTCATATTTACAGAGAGAAGGAGAGACAGACAGAAAGATCTTCCATCTGCTAGTTCACTACCCAAGTGACCACAATGGCTATAGCTGAGCCAATCCGAAGCTAGGAGCCAGGAGCCTCCTCCAAGTTTCCCACATGGGTGCAGGGTCCTAAGGCTTTGGGCCGTCCTCGACTGCCCTCTCAGGCCACAAGCAGGGAGCTGGAAAGGGGGTGGAGCAGTTGAGACACCAAATGGTGCCCATGTGGGATCCCCGTGGATGCAAGCAAGAACTTTAACCACTAGGCTACTGTGCTGGACTGCACCTCATATTTTGAAGGGTCATTTCGCTTTACATTCCTTTTCTGCCATTATGATTCAAATGTAAGAGATTTCCTGAAATGTCAGATAATCCAAATAGTTTTTATGTAATTACTGTATGGAGTTAATTTTTTGGAAAGATAAAAACTTTTAACCCAGTTATATATTATTTTGAAAAATTAAGCTTTGGGTTACATTAACAAAAAATCTTTCTTGTGAATTTCAAAATTCAAGACAGTTGCTAAAATGGAAACATTGTATTAATCTTCTCTAAAGAAAGTTTGATAAATTTTTATTTGCATTTCTGTACATGAGAGTGCTCTGTACCTAACTGGATAGCCAGAGGGAAGTGAATACAATGTATTGATTCCATATACCTGACCAGTTAAGTTGGAAATAGATTACACTGAGCCACTGCTTGTGAATAATGTTGTTTCTGTAGGTGTGCAAACATTTCCTTGAAGCCATTGAAAACAACAAGTATGGCTGGTTTTGGGTTTGCCCTGGAGGAGGTGATAATTGCATGTATCGGCATGCACTTCCTCCTGGATTTGTGTTGAAAAAAGACAAAAAGAAAGAAGAGAAAGAAGATGAAATTTCATTAGAAGATCTAATTGAAAGAGAGGTAAATAATTTTCCTATCATTAAAAAATGGCATAGTATTTATTGTGAAATTCTATTATTTACCACTTGGAGGCAATGATGTGTTATTATGAAAGAGGAAATACTGTGACATTTTCCCTATGCTATTTCTTGTTTATCTGAATTGTAAACCTCGCCATAACATTAGCAAACCAGGACAGTAATTTTCAAATTTATATAGCAATTTTTTCTGACCAGCTTGTGGATTGTCATATTGCCCATAAGACTTTTATTAGAAACACTGTCTTTTCTTAGCTCAAGCTTGTAGCATACATCCTTTCTCTGATGTCTTTTTCCCCCTGCTCTACTAGTCATTAGCACATATATAGAATGGGTCACTTCAGTTTTTCAGTTACGGTTACCTCTGGACGTTGTACTCTGCTCATAAAGGAGAATGGATCTATGGGAAATTTCCTATAATCCACAATATATTAGCATAAATGTGTAAAGTATCTAACAGTAAATATTTAGCATGCTCAGTAAGTCTGAAGGGGTTCTTGAAAAGTTGCTCCAAGATCAACCTCATTCCATTTTCTACATACTTTGACTCTTATGTGATTTTTTTTTTTTGGTATATATTTAATACCCAGTTATTGGCACTAAGAAGCAGGAGATTATTTTTTTTCTGCTTAGTTTTATTCCTCTCATGAGAAACACAAGAGAAATTGGATATTTTTATGGTGCTTTTTATACTTATTATTTTTAACAACTGGTGCATGTTAAAAGAATTTTTCATCATAAATGTTACAGCTAATACTTGGAAGATAGTGGAAAATAATGTTTTGTTTTAAGGATTTATTTATTTTCATTGGAAAGGCAAATTTACAAAGAGATGGAAAGACACAAAGGCAAAGGTCTTCCATCTACTGGTTCACTTCCCAAATTGCCGAAATAATCAGAACTAACCAGAGCCAGGAGCTCCTTGCACGTTTCCACCATGGGTGTGAAAGCCCAAGTACTTGGGCCATCCTCCACTGCTTTCCCAAGCCATTAATGGGGAGCTGGATGGGAAGTAGAGCAGCTGGGACATGAACCATTGCTCTCATAAGATGCAGGTGCTTGGAGACAGGATTACCTGATTGAGCCATCACGTTTGCCCCCAGAATAATCTGTTCTGGACACGCATTTCACTGATTGTCATGTAAAATAAAAATAGTTTATTTCAAGCTGGTTGTTCCTGGGATATTCATAGGCAAGATATTTATTGTAGTAAGAGAAAGCTGCTGTTAAACACTATTATAGGTTTCTCTAAGGACAAAAATTAACTGTTTATATTTGCAGCGTTCTGCCCTAGGCCCAAATGTTACCAAAATCACTCTAGAATCTTTTCTTGCATGGAAAAAAAGGAAAAGACAAGAAAAGATTGATAAACTCGAACAAGATATGGAAAGAAGAAAAGCAGATTTCAAAGCAGGCAAAGCACTAGTGGTATGTCTCGAATTAACTTAGTTGATTTTATAATTTTTGTGTCATGTAAGATTTTATGCTTATATAATCACTAATGTCGATGATTAGGAAATTTTTGAATTCTGAGTTTATAATAATTTCTCACTAGATCAGTGGTCGTGAGGTGTTTGAATTTCGTCCTGAGTTGGTCAATGATGATGATGAGGAAGCAGATGATACCCGTTACACCCAGGGAACAGGTGGAGATGAGGTAAGAAGAAAGTTTTCTCTTCATCTGCTTAGGTGTATGAAAAACAAGAGAATAGAGCAGCATGGTTAAAAGCACTAGTACTAAAGCCAGAGAGCTTCAGTTCAAACCCTTAGGCTGTCAGTGGGAAAGTACTTTCTTTTGGGCCATATTTAGCTGTAATAAGAACTTAATGATAATGCATCCATCTCAGTGTGAGAATGAAATGAATTAATGAATTTATATTGCTGTGCAATTATAGAACTTAGGATATTGTCTGATATATAATTGCTGTGTGTAATGACTGTAAAAATTGCTTTTGTCTTCCCTCAAAACCAAAAAGAAGGAAAAAAGCCTTTTTTAAGACTATGCTGAAAGAGCGATTTTGGAATGAGTTACTTATTTAAAAAGAGTGGGGAGAATGAGTTGGGGGCAAATTGAGTAATAGGTAATTTGCTGTTGACTTTTTATTTGTAACAATTGTTTTTTTCTGTGTTATTAAAGGTTGATGATTCAGTGAATGTAAATGACATAGATTTAAGTCTGTATGTCCCGAGAGATGTAGACGAGACAGGTATTACAGTAGCCAGTCTGGAAAGATTCAGCACATACACTTCGGATAAAGATGGTAAGTATGCTTTCACGTAATTCTGAGAACTAAGAAACAATCTTAAAGGGGCTTCAACCATGCTTGGCAAATTTAGGGGTTCTTTGGTAACTAGCTGATAAAGTGTGGTTTGGCCGTATATAGAAGTAGAAGTGAACAGCAGAGGCTGTAGAAGTGAATAGAGTCATGGATGTGGAAGATGAAACTGGCATAGGAAAAAATTTGCAGGTATAACTTATAAGTTCTGTTCAGTACCTCCTGAACTCAAGATTTGCTTTGGTTAATTGGAAGTGGCATTGTCTAGGTACTTCTTCATAGAAGAAGATTTTAGAGCTCACTGCAGAGCAGTTTCAGTTGCTGCCTATAATGCTGGCATCCCATAGAGTGCCAGTTCAAATTCTAGCTGCTTCACTTCTAATCCAGCTCCCTGTTAATGTGCCTGGAAAAGCAATAAAAGATGGCCCAAATCCTTGGACCCCTGCCGCCCACATGAGAGACTGGATGGACTTTTCCCTGTAACCTAGCCTATCTCGTCCACCCCTGGCCATTTCAGCCATCTGGGTAGTAAACTAGCAGATGGAAGATCTCCATATACCTCTGGCTTTCAAGTAAATGAAATCTTTTTGCCTCCTCAGTCTCCCTCCCACACACACCCCCAATAAAAACGAGCAAGGAGGAAAGTTCTTAGTAAAAACCCTGGGAAAGTCAGAAACAACAAACAACAAATGGGTTGTCACATTAGGAATATAGTTATAGGAATAGGGTTACAGTTTTCATGAGGACTATATGAATTAAGGTATGAGGAAAAACCACTTTAGTGAGTGGTGATGGAACTAGCATTTTAGGATACAGGAGACCTAGAAATATGTGTAGATCAGAGAAAAAGGCTCTGGTACACAAGGGTGTAAAGGAGCTCAGGGTGGGTATTTTGTGCAGCTGTTATTCTTGTTGCTGCTTGGGCCACCCACATCTCACATCAGAATGCTTGATTTATCTGTTTCCAGTCTTGGTTCCTACTCATGTGCACTCTGGAAGGCAGCAGTGGTTGGGTCCCTGCCACCAGCATGGGAGTTTGGGGCATTTGGGGAGTAGATCAGCAGATTGAGGGTATCTTTTTCCATCTGTCTACATATCTCTGCTTTTCAAATAAAATGAAAATGAATTTCAGTGTTTTTCAAAAATTAGTTTTGAAACAGGATTTGAAAGTGTAAGTAATAATTAAGTGGAAGAATGAAGGGAAAGCTGTCTAGGTGTATTTGGAGGTGAAGATTGTTGATATAATTTACGTCTAAATGTACTGTGAGTGAAGGGTTTGAAGAGAAGGTGAAAGTTTAGAACGTTTGATGTTGGATAAAAAGGTAGGAGTAGTGATTAAGAAAAAACCCGAAGGAGAAAAGGGTAAACTTTATTTTTACAACATTCAAAACACAAGTAGTAACTTGAAATCTCACCTTTGCTCCTGAGATCTGAGAATGCGATCCATACTACTGTCTTACCAACATGCAGACTGAAATGTGGCTTTGGTAACATAGACATAGAGGAAAATATCTCAGAGGCTATGGTCCATAAGACTTTATTATCAGACATGCTTTAAATAGCTAAAATCTGAGGAGAAATAGCTATACAATGCTAAGTTTTTTTTTAAAATTTGGTTTCATGCTGATTTTACTAGCTAGTGTGACCCAACTGCTGTTTACAAAATCGAAAGCCAACTAACTGCTAATATTATGAACATTTTTGGTTCTACAATGATTTACTCAAACATTATGTGGATGGGGACTTTATAAACCTAATTGCTAGGTTAGGTAGAATACGCAGTTGTACAAGATTTGTCTTAGTCTCAGATATATGAATTATTACTACACAAATGTCTAGTTAAAAAACTTTCAGGGCCAGTGCCCTGGTGTAGCAGCTTAAACCTCCACTCGTGATGCTGACATCCCACATGGCACTGGTTCAAGTCCCAGCTGCTCTACTTCCAGTCCAGCTCTTAGCTAATAACCTGGAAAATATAGGCTGGGCTAGCTCCCACTTTTACATCTATTTATGGAGGAAAGCAAAGGGTAGAAGATCTAAACTTTGCTAGAGTAATCATGAGCGTTTCATAGAAAAGGAAAAAGGAAGAGTAATTATTAGTCTGTGCTGTCAGTTGTCAATGGTTTACTCAGTTGCCAATAGTATTTACTCTTTCTAGGTCTTTTATTGATTTGTACTTTTATTTTTAGAAAACAAATTAAGTGAAGCTTCTGGAGGCAGGGCTGAAAATGGTGAAAGAAGTGATCTGGAAGAAGACAATGAAGGGGAGGCTCAGGAAAATGGAGCTATTGATGCCGTTCCTGTTGACGAAAATCTTTTTACTGGAGAAGATTTGGATGAACTAGAAGAAGAATTAAACACACTTGATTTAGAAGAATGACACCAAGCAAATCAGTGAAAAAATTGAGTCAGCTCAATGTGAGTTGAAACTGACTACATTAATTTTTTCCAGCTAGAATCAACAGGAAGTTTGTTTCCCATGCTGATTATGGAGGGTTAATTCTCCTCCAACAAAGGAATATTCTCCCTACGTCTTCTCTTCTGGCTTTGACTACGTCTCATAGTAAGTTCAGAGTAGTTCATAATAAATTGAAAGTATAATGGTCATTGCAGAAAATGATTGATTGTTGCAACTGTCCACTCAAGTAGGAATTGTAACTGCTTTTTCAGCTTTTGGTTTTCATTGGGCATGTGTTATTACCAGGAACTACATAAATTTACATTTAAAATACCCCTCGTTTGATGCAGTTTTTAATGGGTGAGTTCATTTCCTTTGTATTTATGTTTAAAAGACTGCCTCAGATGACACTGTACATCATAAACGAAACTGCATATGCAGATTCAGTGTTGTATATCTTTTGGACAAAAAGAGTGAACATTTAAAATGGGATTTCCTCAATCTGACAGGATCAGCTATAATGCCCTCTGTTAAGCTGTTTAAACGTTTTTCCTCTTCTTTTTTGCCAATAAAGTTGTAAATAAAGACTGTCATACATTAAAATCTAATGTGGGTTTTTAATTTTTCTGTGAAAATGTTCTTAGTATTTCTAGCTTCAGAATTTGAAGTGTTATATGCTATCATAATACGGCTATTAACTTAATATTTACACAGAACCATGTGGTATGCTAATGCGTTGTGAGTTTAATAACATTAATCCTTAGCTTCCAAAAGAGACTATGGATTTCTTGAATTGATAGATCATCAACCTAATTAAAAGCCATTAATAAATTGAGCCAAGTAGAATTTTAAAATTGTTGCTAAGATTGGGGCCAGCATGGCAAATCACCCACCCTGTGGTGCTGGCATCTAATACGAGCTCCGGTTTGTGGTCTGGCTACTGTACTTGTGATCCAGGTCTCTGCTTATGGCCTGGAAAAACAGCAGAGGATGGCTCAGATCCTTGAGATGCTACATCCATGTGGAGGATCCCAAAGAAGCTGCTGGGTCCTGGCTTCAGAACAGCTCAGCTCTGGCCATTGTGACCATTTGGGGAGTTAACCAGCAAAGTGAAAGACACCTCTGTCTTTCCTTCTCTTGACTGTAAAATCTGCCGTTCAAATAAAAATCCTTTTCAAAAAAAGTGTGCTCAGATCTATTAATTAAATAGTACATATTAGGTTCAATTATTTTTAGGAAGAAAGTGAATAAATTCTAGAAAACTTTGAGCTAAAGGTTGAAGCACATTTCAAATGATTCAAAATCCTATTCTCATTATTTAAGGATTATGCCTTATAAATATCATTAGTTTTTGTGATTTTTTAAAATTATACTGTGCTTTTGTTATTTGCAAATGTAAGTAAGTAAGTAATGTAAGTAATTAAGATGGTACCTTAACTGAATTGTCCAGTGAATCCAGTTTCATCTGCCTCAGATAAGTTGTAAGACACTAAATTTCTATATTTTAGTTTGTTTCTTTATTTGCATGTAAAGGTTAAGATTGAATTATCTCTAAATTGCTTTTGAATTGTAAAACCTAACAAAATACTGTGGTAAATCAAAGCTGATAAAGTGCAAATTGACTTCCTAGCTGTTCAGTATCAGCGGTATAATTTACATTTTTCAAATATAGACCATCGTAAACCAAGCTTTTCCTCTCATCTGTAGTTAAATTACACATAAATTCTTTGAGATTGGGCTTTAAAGTTTATAGCCATGAAGTATTTGTTGTGCGTGTGTGTGTGTGAGAGAGGGAGAGAGAGAAACCTTTAAAAACATCTTTATAACTGGGAGAAATGGGGAAGGTTTATGTATCTGTGCATTGAGTATGTATGTACCTAACACAAGTCAGGAGTGGGGGAGAGGTGGAAAGATCAGTTAATGTATAGCTCCCAAGATGGCTACAATGGCCAGCACTGGGGCCAGGCCAGAGACGGTGGCTTTCTCCAGCTCTCACGCATGTATGGCAGGGCCCCAAACATTTGAGCTGTCTTTGCTACCTTTCCAAGACCATTATCAGGGTTCAGAAGTGGATCAGCCAGCACTGGTTGTAATAGCTCTACAGGCTAATCCTCTGCCTGCCAGCACTGGCATTCCTGTGGGCCTAGGATCTTCATTCATGTCACAGCTGCTCCAGTTTGGATCAAGCTCCCTGCTTGTGACCTGGGAAAGCAATAGAGGATGCAAGTAATGGCTTTTCTACACCATAATGCCAGCCTCAGAAAAATGGACATGCTGTTGCCTTGTTTAGTACTGAAACATTTTCAGAATGGTCTAAAGAGGTTGAACCTTTTTAAACCTATAGCCTGCTGGCATTGTTCCATGATGATTAAAGCTGCCTGCCTGTGACAGGAGCATTGCATTTGGGCACCAATTTAGAGTCCTGATGCTCCATTTCCAATTCAGCTCCCTGCTAATGTGCCTGGAAAGCAGTGGAAGATGGCACAAATGCTTGGGCCCCTACTACCCACCAGGGAGACTCAGATAAAACTCCTGCTCCCCAGCTACTGGGGTTGTTAGGGAGTGAATCCACAGATGAAGATTCACTTTCTCTGCCTGGGATGCTGGAGCCCCGTATCATGATTGCAGGTTGATGTCCCAGCTGCTCTACCACTGATCCAGCTGCCTGCTCCTGCTCTATGAAAAGCAACAAGGGCTGGCCCAAGTATTTTGCTTGATACTACTTACATGGTAAACCTGGATGAAGCTCCTGGCTCCCATTTTCAGCTTGGCTCAGTCCTGACCATTGCAGGCGTCAGGGAAGAGAAACAGCAAATGATAGATCCTCTGTATCTTTCTCTATATATAAATCTGATTTTCAAATACTATAAGTTTTTGGACCTGGCACAATAGCCTAGTGCCTAAATCCTCACCTTGAATGCACTGGGAAAGCAGTCAAGGACAGCCCAAAGCCTTGAGACCCTGCACTTGTGTGGGAGACCTGGAGGAGACTCCTGGCTCCTGGCTTCATATTGAATCAGCTGCAGCCACTTAGAGGGTGAACCATCAGATAGAAAATCTTCCTCCTTGTCTCTCTTCCTCTCTGTGTATCTGCCTTAACAATAAAAGTAAATAAATCTTTTAAAAAGAGACTTTGCAGTAGTATGTGACTTTGAAAACCAAATTTTCCTTAATATATGTCAAAAGAAAAATGCTTCAGTATGGAAGAGATCACTAAAACCTACCTGTCTTAAATGGCCTGCATCTACTGTGCCCTGAGGAGTCACCTCATGGGTATAATTCTCTCGACTCAGGAAATGCAAAGGGATTTAAACTGATACCAAATTCAATCTGCTTTCTAACGTACATTGAAGAGAGGAGTAGAAATGATTTTTGCATAAGGTATATTTATCTAAAACTGGGTCCACTTTCTCAAGTCTGCTTCCTTTATTCTGTAAAATGAGGGAAATGTAGTTTCCGTGAAGTTTCCTGTTTACACTTTCTGTCAACAGTAACCGTTACAGCCTCTAAGGATTCCGCGTATGCAAGAATATTTCTAAATTATTTTAGTTACATTGTGAACTTCACCTTGGCACAGAAGACTATCAAGTATTATAAGCCCATTATTTCTGTACTGTTGTAAATTGCAAACAGTATTTTTGAATGTTTGAACTAGTCAGCTCTAGTTAGTGTAATTACTATATGAATTCTATTGTTTATTATCAACTTCACATTAAGAACTTTCAGGATCATAAACTGCAGATCTTTTTCTGTGTTATGTATAAAATTGATTCTGAGTACTATTATGCTAATTTTGTGGGGTACTTTGCATGTGTTATAAAATTACATGTTTCATTGAGCATTAAGGAATACCAGATGACAGGGTAAATTACTAAAATTTTGGTTTTGATTTTTGTCCTTTTAAAAGTATACATCCTACTGATCATAGCATGTTTTGTGAATATAGTTTATACCTTGTTTATCAATAGTAGTAATTACCAGGAGCTAGCCTTTTAATTAACTGTACAATCTGCAAAATTTTATACCCTAAGAAACAAACCTTAATGAATGACATAAAATGTGTTTCCCTATTTTACTCCACCTTTCTTAATGTTATGATTTTGCCTTTTATTGCCTGTTAATGTAGAAGGAAAGATTATTAGTTTTCGTTTATTCAGTTAATGTATTTGTGCATTTTCACACTAACACATTGAGCATGTGTGATGTGTTTAGGATATGATTTTTGCTCAGTTTGCATATGTATTTTAAAGGAGAACATCACCACTGCAAGGTAAGTGCATATTTCTTAGTAGGGATGCCTTTTCAGTCAGACTATAGGCAAACTTTTCAATTATTTTATGTTCAAACTTAATTGAGTTTTTAGATTAAAGACAAAATATTCACTGTGAAATTGTTGTGATTCAATGTTTTTCAGGTATTTGTGGTGTTTTGTGTTTGGTCCCCAGGGTAATATTTTTATAAGAGCTAATCTTGTTTTCATACAAATGAATGAAAAAGTAACTGGCCTTTAAAAGACCCAGGCAACATGCTTAGCCCTGTCTAGTTAACCATATGGTATAATTCAAAACATTGGACACTGCATAATTTGCCAGTTAATCTTCTGTAGATTATGCCACTTTTCAAAGAATGATGTCAGTTTCATGTGCTGTTTATCACTACTATGAATCCTTTATATTTTCATAAATCTTAAACTGTGTCAGCAACAAAGCCGTCAGTATGACTTTCACTACAAGTGAGTTTCTTACATATTTAATTGGTAAGTTTTGAGTGGTGTGACTTTATTTGATGTCTAGAAATATCAAAAAATGTGGAAATAAAAGTTAAGTGTCAATTTAGAAGTGCAGAATATAACAATACAGTAGTGTAGTCTACAGTTATGTATTGTGTAGATTATATATATTTCACTTTTTTTTTTTAGTAGCGTTCATCCTTGCATTCTCATGTAGTACTGAAGAGTGAAAATAAAGGTTTAGTGATAGAATCATTTATGATAACTAATTTAAATTGTCCAACACTGCATGGCTTGTGTTCACCATATTTGTAATTCACTTTGTAGACAATTGTCTTTGGACATTACAAAATTAACCATTCTTACAATTACAGGGATTACTCACTATTCAAAGAAAAACAAAAATTCAACTTTGAGCTATAAACTATAGCTTATTTTTAATTGACAAATAATTCAGTACATTTGGATTAATTAACTTCTTTACACTCTAGACCCATTCTTAGCCAGTAGAGAAGACAGTTAATCACTGAACGTTTTAACCTGTTTATTTTGAGAATATTGTAAAGATTTATTTTATTTATTTGACAGGCAGTTGCAGATGACCAGCAGGCAGGGCTGGACCAAGCAGAAGGTAGGAACCAGAAGGTTCTGGTCTCCCATGTGGGTGTTGGAGTCCTGGTTCTTGGACCATCCTTCACTGCTTTCCCAAGTGCAACACCAGGGAGCTGCATCAGAAGTGGAGCAGCCAGAATTGAACCAGGCCTCCATCTGGGATTCCAGCACTGCAGGCAGTGACTACCATGTCATGGCATTGGCCCAAATGATGACAGTTTTTAGTAATCTGGTTAGACTTTTAAATGGTTTTTTCCGCAGC